CATTTAGAGAGATCAATAAAGTTATTGTTACTGTTGTTGATGGTAACGATGATCTTCACAATTACATGTCGTCATATTTCTCCTGTCAAATCATTTTTTTACCTCCCCAAAAGATATGGTAATCGATGACAATTGATGAAAATCGATGACAATCAATGACAATCGAGGACAATTGATGACAATCGATGACAATCGATGGCAATTAAAAAACACAAATTTTTTGGCCATCGATTGGTGATCGATTTCCAATATCAATCGATTAATTGTTATCGATTGATATCGATTGCCATCGACTGTTATCGATTATCGGTTTCATCGATTGATCACGCCAGGATCCAAGATAGAGGGGGACATGGGGGGGTTCTGAACACCGCAACACCACAAAAAAAATTAACGAACACCGCATCATCGCAAGAAAAGTCAACGAAACTCCGTCACCGCGACTCGTATTTTTAGCGCTATGATTCGTTCATATACACTTAAAACAGTACTTTTATACCTCAACAATTTTCCACAAAATAAACACATTACAACGCTTTTCATTGCACATGTGTCAATACTGCTGATGCGGACGAAGAAAAAAGAGAGGAGCCTCNCGCATTTGTCGATACTGCTGATGCCTGTAAATCAGTTTTCTTGCTCTTGGGAAGAAACCTTGCGGGAAGCTAGGAAGCGGACGAAGGAAAAAGAGAGGAGCCTCGAGAGATGGCCTTTACCCCAGATCCCTCTCTTCTTTTACATGTACTTTGCTCACTTTTCTTGGTGTATAAACCCACAGACTGAAGCCCTATCTTGACTGGAAGTATTGCTTTCCGGAGCTAGCTGCGTTTGCGTTCGATATCGATAATCGTTTGAAAAAATAGAAGGTCAAGAATGTCGCAGGACCTTGGAGTGGGTATAGACCGGTATCAGAATGACCTCTAGATGAAGTCGAATAGCAAACGGAAAAACAAAATAGTAAACGTGTGTAATTTACAAAGCTTCCTTAGGTTAGAAAGCCTTCGCTCTCCCCTGCCGACGCGACATCTGGATATATTTTGTGGCAGGTAGTTTTCGCCACCTTTTCCTTTTTTGCGTAGAAAAAAGCTGCGCAGTCAATAATACTTTATATTCGGCCTTGGCGTTTCCAGAGTTTCCAGGAATGTTTCTGTCCTCGCTCCTCCACGTGTCTACCGAGCACTGAGCTCCGGGTGGCAGAGGTCGAGTTACTTGTCAAGCTACGCATAAACATAAATAAAAACAGCTTCGGATTGGCAGCCAAAGCATATTGAAGATTGACTAGAAAGTGATGGT